AACTTATGTCAAGCCCTACTAGCCTTTCCTCTGAACCCATGCCTCGAAAGTATTTTTGCCTGACCAGTACTTGGTCATGAACTGCTGACTACTAGTTTGCTGGAGAGGTCAGTTGAACAGAAAAAAAGGAGACTGCTTCTTGATTTCTTTCCCAGGGGCTCTTCTGAAAGTCCCAGGTAAGATTCTCATTGACCTGGCTTGGGTCAGATGCTAATTGCTGCAGTGATCCTGGTTCGTGGTACCCAGGGAGATGCTGCATGCTGATTGGTTGGGTCAGATTGCTCATCTGCATAGAGGAGTCAGCCGCATCCAAACTATAACCATTAAGAATGAGAGGAGTCAGGCCAGGTGTGGTGGCTCACGCCTGTAATCCTAGCACTCAGGGAGGCTGAGGTAGGAGGATTGCTTGAACTCAGGAGTTTGAGACCAGCCTGAGCAAGAGTGAGACCCCATCTCTTAAAAAAAAAAAAAAAGAATGGGAGGAGAAAGAAAAGGTCATCTGGAAATAGGAAGCAGCAGAAACAAATTAGGAAGTCAAGAAGGAAGCCAGAGAGCTCCGCGTCACCAGCAGGTGCACCAGCTCCAGCAATGCGTCAGCTACTTATTTTGTCTGATTTTAAAAAATAACTGCCATCTTTCCCTCAAATTAATTTAAGTCCTTTGAGGGCAAGGACCATGTCTTACCTCTCTGCATTATGATGCTTCTACAGAGTAGGGTCCTAGACATTTTTTTTAGTACCCCAAAGCCACAAATGTAGGTTTCTAGACTTTGATTTAGTGCATATGTCTTCGATTCTACTATAAATTGGTTGAATTAGTGAAACAGTGCTCTATAATGTTACAGCATTTTTTATCCTTAAATGACACCTATGTCTTCGAAGCTCTTTATTTCACTTTAAGGAGCAGTAATGGATGGGATTCTAGTGGACGGGCGGGAACGCACATCGGGGTGGCCATGGCAGCCATCCCCACTGAGCCTCGCAACCCCCGTGTGAAGGGCCTGCTGCACTTAGAGAAAAGAGGCCGCCCAGCGCCTTCCCTCTCTCACCTTCTCGTTGGCCATCGAGTGGTACCACCAGAACAGCCGCGTCGTGACGTAGTAAGCGACGATCACGTCCACGGTGTAGTGTTCATGCGCCACCAGGATGCACACGACCCCGGCGGCGCTCAGGAGCCAGCAGGTCAGGTGATACCACCAGAAGTGGCGCGGTGAGTCTGCACAGGGGACAAACTGTGGAGTTAATAAGATTCCCGGAGATGAATTTAATGATCACGGTCTGTCCTGACGACCTTACGTAGAATGCTGTAGGATCAGGGAGGCACCAGAAGAAAGCTGAGTCAGTATGACGTGCCCAGGATCTGCCCAGGAAGGAGTGGAAGAGGACCCCTGGCAGCGGGTCCCACAGCCCCTCGCTGAGGAGTTCTGGAACACTCGAGAGTTGAGGTCTTGCCCACTGCTAATACGCTGTTTAATAAGGAGGAGAACGGAATTGTTTCTTTTGAGCTTGGCTGGAATTGGCGTATGCTGGCTCACATCAAGGAAAGAAAACCAGTAGGGATCAAAAGAAAAGCCAGCTGTCTATGAAAACAAGGGGGAGATGGAGAGCAGAGTCGTTTCAGGGCTTGCATCTGCGTCAGCTCCCGCAGACGTGGGCAGGGCTGGGGCGGGCAGCGGCCTGTGGCCAGCGGCGCTCGGGTGCCCGGCAATCCTGCACTGTCACTGCCAAGGGCAGCTGTAAGCGCCGCTGTGCGAGCCCGGGACTCGCGGACTCCAGCCTGAGGAAGCTCGATGGCCAGGGCCGCTGAGCAGCGAGGCAGGGCTGCGCGCTTGCGGCTTACGTGAGCCGCGAGTGTGGACGGCAAGCGCGCCTGCGATCAGAGTGCACCTCTAACACTTGGTCAGCTGGGCTTTTCTTTTCTTTCCTATTTTGAAGCTTTATTAGTTCACAAGTTAATAATATAACAATAATATAATCACTCCATATCTGCGTTTGCCTTCATAGCGCTATTTAAAGTGTAGAAGAAAGGCTGAATGCGAAAGGACCCATTGCCAGAGCTGTAGATGAAACACCAAGCCAGGCATCATGCAAATAAAAATATATATTTTTTGTAAAATAGCTGTTACTCTGTTGATCCCAAGTGAAACAGTAAGAAAATAAACTTGTATTTGCATTTGAAAATCAGATTTTCTACATTTGGATGTGTTCCTCATTACTTCTCAATTGCTTCATGTTGCCACTAATTTATGGCAGACAACTAACTCACAGGACCCCAGAATTTTAATGCTGCGAGAGCCCTTGTTCTTGCAGTCAGGGACCACGTCCCGTCCCCATAGCTGTTCTGTTAGGCCCAGAACGGGAACACTGACCTGACATCTGGAAATCTGGCCTTGCTAAATGGGCATTCTCCACGCCGCAGACCCCACTCCTCCCCGAGGGCTCACACCAACCCTGCTTCCTTGCTTGTAAGGTCACCTGGTGTTCACCTTCACCGTTGAAATGCTTGAGCAAACCAGAACTATCTTGCATTTGTTTATTCATAAGCAGCAAAGCTGAAAAGGGTAAGGAGTAAGGAGGCGGCCTGAATGACCATTTTACGACTCACGAGACTAAAAGTGAGGTTTTAGGAATGGCTGGAAACCCTAGCAGTGCTTTCTCGTGAAAATGTATGTCCTATTATGCTGCCACACTGGGACCGCCACTCATGAATTGGGAACACTGGCTGACCCAAGGAAATACTTAATGTAAGCTGCTGTGAAGTAGAAATGGTGAAATGGTAATCCTCTTTGCTCTGTCACTCTACCCATGAGGGTGACAATGAGCCACAAGAATAAATAAACAAAAGACGATGACACAAGTACTAATTAACTCCATTGTCTGTCTGGGATCCCAGCCCAAGTTGGTATTGAATAATAGCGACAATGGACTTGGTATGGTGGCAAAGTAAAAAAAATAAATAAATAAGTTTTAAAAACTGTTCTCAGCTAGCCAGACATTTGTTACTGGCAGCTAAGGCTCATTTCTCCAGGATAGCTTATAAGGAACCCAGGCCTTACTGATAATATTTGCACAGCTGTATAAATCTCTCTTTTTCTAACCTAAATTTCTCCCACATTTTTATGTTCTCACAACTAAACTTAAATCCACTCTTGACGATGGAGCCATAGAGTCCAAATTGATCAAAAGGCAGGAAAGCAAAAAATAGATAAATGATGCTTCTTATTCTAGAAGGAAACTTTTCAAAGAAACCACTGGAACCACTGCTTACTCAGAACAACAACACATGGTATAATTTAGAAGATAATCGTTTTTCCTAATTACACAGGAAACAGGCAAAAACACAGAATGTATTGTTGATGTAAAATAGAGTTTTGGATTAAATGTTACAGATTCACCATTTTATTTCTTACCAAAATAGTGTTACAGCTCTTTTAGCATTTGTCTAACAGGTTTTCCGATGAGAGAGAGAGAGAAGGAAAGAAAGGGAAAGAGAAGGGAAGGGGAAGGAGAGGAGGGGAGGGGAGGGAAGGGGAGGGGAGGGGAGGGGAGGAAAGGATATCTCTCACCAAAAATTGTAAAAAACTGGAATGTAACTCTTCCCATGCTCTATATAAATTTACATGATTTAAAAAACCTCAAGGCAAAACAATGTCTTGGGGAAAAAAGATCTCAATATACTGAGTGGCCTTCATTAAAGTGTAAAATTAATCACAAGTTGCCCTGCTATCGCTCTGAGGGGAAAGGATGAAACATGACCAGCAACGTCCCCTGCTTACAGATAAGCAGGCCATTCACTGGCACGTCTACAGGGTCAAATTGAATTTCCAAACATTCTAGTAAGAGGTAAGAAATTAAGGGCATAGTCTCTGGTTCAGACTGCGTAAATCTGAATGCCTGGCTCTCCAAATACTAGCTGTGGACTGTAGCAAGACATCTTCTCTATACTCGAATTTCCTTAGGGGGGGAATATAGTACCCACCATGGGCGGGTTGCAAGGATTAAATGAGATCATTTGCATCAAGGGTTTAGAATAGTGCCTGGGCAGAGTATTATGTCTACTTGCTATTATTGTCAATGTCTATTAGTCTCCAGTTATTTTAGAAAGCTCTCAGTCTCCTGGGGTGTTTTCCCTTCGTCACTCCTATGGTTTCAACCTACAGCCTGCAGGCACCTTCTCAGCAACACGCAACTCCTCCTCGCCCTCCTCCCCATCTTTTCCCACACATTTTTTTCTGTGATCCTCACATTAGAGGGAAGATCCCACAATTCAAATGTACCTCTGCACTAGAAAATGATTGAACTTACATACAGATGAAACTTTCCTTGGCAAAGGTCAGGACTATAAACCATACACCTCATTCCACCCCCTCCCCTGAACCAGTAACTAGATTTTATTATTATTTTTTGAGACAGAGTCTCACTCTGTTGCCTGGGCTAGAGGGCTGTGGTGTCAGCCTAGGTCACAGCAACCTCAAACTCCTGGGCTCAAGCAATCCTCCTGCCTCAGACTCCCGAGTAGCTGGGACTACAGGCATGCGCCAATGCCCGGCTCATTTTTTCTATATATTTTTAGTTGCCCAATTAATTTCTTTCTATTTATAGTAGAGACAGAGTCTCGCTCTTGCTCAGGCTGGTTTCAAACTCCTGACCTCGAGCAATCCGCCCGCCTCAGCCTCCCAGAGTGCTAGGATTACAGGCGTGAGCCTCCGCGCCTGGCCCAGTAACTAGATTTTAGAAAGGTGATGACGAAATTCAAGGAAGAGACCATCCTCTGCTGACGGTGCAGACAGGTTTAGACCTCCCCGCACCCAGCCCCCCACAAGTGTGAGAGTGGAAAGCGAAAGGTGCCTTCAAGTTAAGTATGACGATGGCCTGCGCCGAACACGCTACTGTCCCCACTATACGTCTGTACGTGAAATCTACAAAGGAAAATACACAGAAACTACAATCCTCACAAGGAAAGGACTTTATCTAAGACAGAGAACCTCAACTCTGCTGTCATACTGCCCTTGAAGCAGATCTTAACCCTAAAGCCGCGAGCCGCCTAAGGGCAAGCGACCACTTCCGTGACACTGTAGAACGACCCGTGCTGTCCCCACTGCTGTCCTCGCGCTCAGTCTGTTTGGATTAACAGGGGACAAGGGAGGAGAGCTGAGCAGGAGGCTGGGGAGGGGAAGCCACTTTCTGCTAGTCTCTGGCCAAAGACCTCCCTTTTAACATGCCAAGGAAGCGAATTGAGAAAAATCACCAAAAACACTGGCAGGGGTAACTTGGAACTAAAGATGAAAGGAAAACTGATCAGCTTTGCAAACATAAAAGAAGCAGCATTATTATTCCAAAAGGATTTTGAGAAAATGGGCCTAAATTTACAAAACCTCAGAAATCTATACAAATGTGATCTACTGGGCAGCTGAAACCAAATATAACTCTAAAATGAACAAGATATTATTTTGGCCATAAAAGCTACAGGAAAACACAAGGATTTTGTATAGTGGGAACTGAGTATATAAACATGGGAAAACATTTTCCTTTCTTTGCCTTCATGTTTCTTCTTAAGAAGAAAATGATCAGTATTGGCAAAATGTTCCATGAAGATGCCTATGAAAGCATGGTGGCTGGAAAAATGACAAAATTCAAATAAAGTGGGACAAGGAAGTGTTTGAAAAAGGGAAAGACATTAACTGACTTATTTGGAATGACAGAATGGAAGTGTCATACATATAATTCAAATGTCATTTACATTTGGCTTTAGAATATACCAATCCTTTTTCACAATAAACTGGACACAATTTTTTTTTTAGTTCCAATACTTTTTTTTTTTTTTTTTTTTTGAGGCAGAGTATCATTCTGTTGCCCGGGCTAAAGTGCCGTGGCATCAGCCTAGCTCACAGCAACCTCCAACTCCTGGCTCAAGCAATCCTCTTGCCTCAGCCTCCCAAGTAGCTAGGACTACAGGCATGCGCCACCATGCCTGGCTAATTTTTTTTACTTTTGGTGGAGACAGGGTCTTGCTCTTGCTCAGCCTGGTGTGAAACTCCTGACCTTGAGCGATCCTCCCACCTTGGCCTCCCAGAGTGCTAGGGTTATAGGCGTGAGCCCCCGCACCGGGCCTAGTTCCAATATTAAGATAGCTTTCCATGCCTTAAGAAGTACTACCCAAGAAAGGAGAGGTTTTGGAGGCAGGTTAAGTGCTAGAGAGAAGCCTAGGCCAGGTGTTAAGCCTTCGGGTTCAAATCACACGGCTATTGAAAACATCTGCATCTGTTTCTTTCGTGGCTACTGATCCCAATGGAATAAGGGCCCCATCAGTTTCAGGGTCTGGAATCCCTGTGCCTCTGGCAGTCGGATCAGTGGGAATGAGCGATTACTTACACTCTTTGATGAACAAATATGTAAGTGTCAGCGAAACGGTGTGGCCGCTGAAGAGGAAATCTCCGCACAAGCTGTGTGACCCAGTTATGGACAAGCCACCGCCGGAGATCAGCCGCAGAATCCGCTGTATTTTCGCCTGAGAGTCTCCGTTGAGCTACAGGACATAAGAAGATTCAGAAGAAAATTTACAAGCTGATAAAATCATGGTTCAGCCCAACTGTGAGAGTCTTGGGTCACCAGGTTGATTTTTTTTCTCTGTAACCAAAAAAGTCAAAAAGAATCCAAGAGGAAGCTTCTCAAACTGGGTTTTATACATTGTATTGGCAAATTTTACTGACACGTTTTAAATTATTCAATATGTTACTAATAATATGTCTCAGTGGTGGCGTGTCCTTGGGCAAAGCTTTTAAAAATATTAATAACCAATGACTTCACCACAGCTATGTGCTAAAAAGCAGATCAAAGCTACTTTCTTTCCTTTTTGCAGGGGAAGGAAGGGTTAGGATGGTTAATATCTGATGCAACTGTATCCTACATTACCAATATTTTACCAGGTCTCGGTACCTTGTATTCAGTGGGAGCCTAAAGCGTACACATAGCTGTATTAATGTCTGCTCAAAATAGTTACAGTTTTAAAAAAAAGGAGTTGCAACTCATTAAATAATTTAAATAGGTTTGAAAATACATTAGGGATGTGCTAGTAGCTTTAAAAATGAGTTGCTTTGATCAAGAAAAACACTCCTCAAAGAAATAACCTGCGTGCAGTGGCAGGTCAGGAGAGCGCCTTGGACGCGGGGACAGAAGTCCCTTGAAGTCGCCGTGAAGGTCTGAGAAACAGCGCTGGGCTGGGGCAGGAGCTAAGCAATAGTCACTCGTTTACACCAGTTAAAATATAATCGTGCAGAACGGAGTTGGTGAAAACAAACAGTAGGCACAGAAAATTGGAACGCTGAGATGTTGGGGGCTAGATGGAGCTCAGATCAGTCTAGTACAAAGCAAACAGGCTGAGAAAAACCAAACAATGATACTCAGGAAAAGACCACGTGACCGCACACACAGAAGAAGACACACAGCAAGACCATGCCGACTGTCCATGCGGGACCTGGGAGGGCAGGTGTAGACCGTGCTGTTCTTACACTCCACGGACGACTGTTCCGGGCCGCTGGCCCCTGAAGCGAGCCAGCCCAGCCGCGCTAGTGGTCAGTTGGGCTGTTTGGTGGCAAAGACAGGGCAGAGCTTTGGCTACGTGGATGCGTGGTGGTGAAGGGGGTAAGATGTGCGCGGATGGATGGGGAGAAGAGTCTAGGAGTCGAGAGGTCAAGTCAGGCCCCAAAGCAGGTGGAAAACCATCCTATCCAGAACAAGCAGGTACTGAGCAAAGATTCCTTGCCTAAAACATCCCTCTGGTTGCCTAAAAATGTTCTGATTAAAAAACATCTTATGGATCTGGAAAGCCTTCTGGTATTCAAGAGACACTTGTAAAAAGGCATTACTTGTCAGCTGAGAGTAAAGCACTGCATAGACAATGACATGAAGTGGATCGATTAAAGGTAGGGCGAGAAACCAGAGGTTTCACAGAAACCTCACCTTCCTCAAGAGCTTGCCTATGGCAAGCCCAGGTGGCAAAGGTGTGTGACACCAAGAGTAGACGGTCCTTAAACCAAACATGTCAAATAGCAGTAGTGATCTCGCCTTGAAAGGACAGGCCCCAGACGGCAGGGGCCTGCGTCCTGAGGAAGACAAGGGCTGCTGGCAGAGCCGCGTGACTCGCCCTAGGGAGCCCCAGGGGGGAAAGGTCTCCTGCAAACGCACAGCGCAGTGGGGCTGGCCTCTGATTTCTAAGTGGGATCAGCGTTCTGCCACGCGCTTTATCAGATCTGCCACGGTCTTTCAGGGATTCATCACGATGTTGGCACAAACAGCCGCCAACACAGAGATCAGATTAAAAGGTGCATACACTTTGCCCAGTGATTGTGTTCTCAGTTTTAAAAGGACACATTATTCTTCAATTCAGAACCATAATCATTTATTTCATCCACTCACGCATCCCAACTCTATATTCTAATTTTCTATGGGCAGAAACACTTAAAGCCATCAATCCCTTTACTTGGGGTTAGAGGGAATCAAAGGTATAAACAAACCAGGAGCTGAAATAAGCTGCACATTTTTTACTCTTCCCTTCTGAAGTTGGTGTATGAAGATTTCTACTAGCATTTGATTCAATGTGCCTTTAGAGAACAGAAGGAGGACTCTCTCTTCTTGCTCTTTCTTAGTTCTTTTTTTTTTTTTTTTTTTGTTGCCCAGGCTAGAGTGAGTGCCATGGCGTCAGCCTAGCTCACAGCAACCTCTAACTCCTGGGCTCAAGCAATCCTCCTGCCTCAGCCTCCTGAATAGCTGGGACTACAGACATGCGCCACCATGCCCGGCTAATTTTTTTCTATATATATTAGTTGGCCAATTAATTTCTTTCTATTTATAGTAGAGACAGGGTCTCGCTCTTGCTCAGGCTGGTTTCGAACTCCTGACCTCGAGCGATTCTCCCGCCTGGGCCTCCCAGAGTGCTAGGATTACAGGCGTGAGCCACCGCGCCCGGCCTCTTTCTTAGTTCTTAATTCCTCAATCTTGTCACTGTTATAGAGACATCATTCCTAGTATAAATGATAAATAGAACCCTCAAGAAAGGAAAGAAAAAAGGAGTAGAAAGAAAACTGAGGAAGGGAGGGAGAATAGTGAGTCTTGGGTTTGATGGATTTTCTTTCCTAGGTCTACTCTAGTTCACTGAAATTCTCCCATGGCGCACCACATTAAGACTCTCATTCCTACTATTTCTGCGTTTCCAGGTACCATTCTACGTCATTACTGAATGTGGAATTGAAGATGCAGAAACCTAAGTGGAGGAGCCTCAATCAAAACATCCACAGCAGACAGGGGCTCACGGGCTCTTAAGGGTCCCCCACGATGACCTCCATATCTCACTTCCTATGAAATAAATTACATGCAGGAGAAGCCGGCACGGCTGCTGCTAAATGAGAGACCATACCATCCACACGATCCCACGATTGGGCAGATCCCACAGTTGGGGCCAAGGCGAGTGTGAGAGCCAGCCCCAGAGGACCTCCTCTGGGCAGAGGTATCTCTCGGCGCCGTCAAGCATTCTTGTACGTGGCAAAATGGGTTTGAAAAGATAAATCATGATAACTGGACCCAAAGTTATCTAAACACACTTTTTCTTTTTCTTCTAAAAATCATGGCTTGTTGGATAAACACACTTTAAAGAACACAAATTTTGTGCCTGCAGACCAAAGCTTGGGTTAGTAGCTGGGGCAAACTGTAAGCAAAGCACTTGAAGTAAACTGTAGGGTTGGTAGGGGAGAAGCCACCTGGAAAACCGTGACGGCCGAGGATGTCACTGCAGTGGCCCTGCAATGACATCTGGCGGGTGGTGGCCGTACTGGGCATCTGTCACTAGGTCTGACACCCTCCCACGGCGCCTGTGCTTAGTACACAAAGTCCTGTCGCTGCCCGTAGTCCCAAAGGGCATTCTATAGAGTCAGCAACCCCGAGACGGGCGGTTATCGAGTAGCCTCGGAACTGCAAATATCTAAGCAGCACCCAAGGCCAGCAGAGGAACCGAATTTAGGATGCAGTTCTGCCTGCTGTTCTGTACCACGTCACCTCCAGTCCAAACAAGGGCATTTGTGTCTGCTTTGCCGAACACAACGCAGGCACCCGTGGGCTGCTTGTGCTTCAGGAAGAGGCCCTGCCAACTCAACGCGGGAGGCGACGAGTGAGGACGTTGCCGTAGTTTCCGTGACGAGCGTCTGCAGCTCAGTTACCCAGCAGCTTGTCCACCGAAGTGGTTCCCAAAGGGTGCAGCTGTCTCGCGGGGCAATCTGTGATTTGCTCTCTTTCTGTAATCACAGAAATTCATCCTGCAAACCTCAGCCGCTAATTGTTACTGGGATGGGCTGTGCCTTCCTTTCTGTGGCCATTCTCCTCTCGACACAGACAACAGCCCATTCGGGGTGTTCACTGTGCTTCTGAACGCCTCTCTCCCTTAAATTAGTTTCCCTAAAAATCAGCCAGTGTTTAAAATCAATATGTGCACTGTTTAATTACTGATCCTTTCTGCTTTGATGGCTTTGGAAAAGCATAGCTTCTCTAAACCACACCTATATTTGGTGGAGGAGACTGTTGGCTTCCTCAGAACAACTCTATTTTTCCTTCGGCTCAGACATCTGTTTAGTGTTCAGTAAAATATGATGCTAGACTTCATTCCTTTGTCCAGAAAGCACATGATTTTAAGTTTCCATTTTATAAGCCAGGGTGTACTGGGGTCTGAGATGATTAACAGCTCTCTTGAGAATTGACACTACCTGGAGAAACTTTAATTCCTGCTTAAGACAATTTCAGTAGACATCATGCCATATCTGAGCAAAAGACCATTCTATCTTTGCAGCTGCTAAAAAGTTTGGGGTCATCCTTGACTTCTTTCTCTCAAACATATATCCCACTTGTTAGCACATCCTGTTGGTCCTACCTTCAAAATGTATCTGGAGTTAAACAACTTCTCATTACTTCCACTGCCACACCAAGGTTGAAGTTCCCACAGTGGACCCAAGACCCTAAGGACTCTGTGGTCTGCACTGCCCTGACCCTTCAAGGATCCACTGGACACACTGGCCTCCCCACTCTTCAGAGCCCACTGGGACTAAGCTACGCCTTGGTCCAGAGCTCTTATCCCTTCCAGGTGGATCACCTCCTCGTCTTGGTTCCTACCCAGATATTTTCTGATTAAAGAAGTCTTTCCTAACCTCTATATAAAATAGTTCCTACCCTCAGACTTCCTCTCACCTTACTCAGCTCTATTGCTCTGCATCTGACAATCACCTGACTTATCCTCATGTGACAAATTGTGGATCTGTTTGTCATTTTTCATGCCTCAATGGAATATAGGCTCCAGTACACTTACATCGTTACTTACCACCTGCTACATAAGCGTCACACTTGTGGAATGAACGCACTAATGAAGAAGTGAATGAGAAGGTAAGAGGAGAGTCAAACTCCCAATGGTAATTTTCAGTTAGCAGAAAATACATTTTTTTTAGCACAAACACATTTTAATTTCTTCCCTCCAAATCTAAAGACAAATAGAAAATGTGCTAGATTCCAGTTAACACATATGGAAGAAGAATGTTTACTGGAGAGCAGGTGCTCAGTAGCTGTTTCCTTGACTTTTCTATGCGGTAACTCGAGCGTGCTTACCTTCGGAGCACACTGGAAGTGCATCCCGGGCACGGGAAGGGTGGTGACGTACATCGTGACACAGCGATAGAGGTACAACGTTCCAAGGATAAAAAAGAATCTTCGCCCTACTATTGACCTAAAGGGAAAACAAGTTCACCAGTTACTTTTATTCCTAATGCAAAATAAAATAATGTTTAACAGGATAAAGAATAATTAGCACACAGTATCCTGAACAAACAAACCAGTTTCACAGAACTTAGAGGCTTAGTTGGGAGCTGCCCATCCCTACGATTTTGTAGAAAGATAGCAACACAATTTTCAGAAACGAAGATTCACAGACTGCAACACATCTCAGTGGTTTGGGGCCCAAAAAGATGAGTGTGAGTGGAGTGAGGGAACTGAGGCAGATGAAGACTCCAGATAATCACCTCTCCTCAAAAAGTTACTTTATGCTGGAAGGTTCAATGAACCTCTCTACATTTTCAGTCAACTCACTGCATTACTAAAACCCTCTCGAGAATATAGCAAAGGATAAGTGAGCTACAGTAACAGAGGAATTAACTAATGAACCAAGGTGACATTACATAATTGGATACACAGGGAAATGTGACAACTCATTTAACCCAAGTTACATAAGCAAGGTTTACTTGGTAACCATCCAAAGGTATTTTTCTATGATTATATAGATTTTCGGAGAATTATATCTCAACGATATCCAAAGAGTCCTCATACATTTAATAACATTTAATAGCAAAGATATAAACTGATTTACTCTTGCTTTATTTAATCTTGATTTTTTAAAAAGTCCCAGAGGTCCTTTTCACTTTATTTATTTGTTTCTGTGGAGACAGCTGTCGTGACAGACATTAGTCCCTGTGGTCCCCAGTCTGCGGCGGGGGCTCCCAGCGCTGACTCTGAGCACACTGTCCTCCCGGGATTGGGCTCTGCCCACAGCACGCTGCCTCGGGGGTCTGCACAGGCAGCAGGGGCTGAGCGCCCCCAGCCAGCGGAACAGGGCAGCTCCTTTTCTGTGCCCGTTAGGTCTGTGCTCTGGATTCTGAGCTAGTTAGGTCTGGATCTGGGGATTACGAGAGGAGCGGGTGCTATAAAGCCCCTAGGATTGCTAGTTGTAACTTACCTAGTACATAAAATACATTACACTAGTTCTCCAGTTTTCAGGGCTCTCAAACTTTCAAAATCAGTACTGATCAAAGACTTCTAGAAAAACAGGCAGTTTCAGAATGTGGCATATTTTTAAGTTTTCTCCAAGATTGTGGTTCTGACATGAATCGAGGTCTAATTCAAGTAACTGTTGGAACTTCTAATTTGAAGGATTATGTATAAATATATACTTCAGCTGCCTGTGTCTAATAGCTATTTTAAGAATATTCCAGGGTTTCTGGGATCAAAAAAAAAAAAAAATAGAAAAGAACACCACCTAGACTGGTAGGTGAAAGTATTCATTTATCCCAAGACACTTCTTTCAAAGCCTTGCTATTCTCGCTTTGCTTTTCCTGGCGCCGCCAAGCAGCAGGTCACAAACAGTGCCGAGTCTCCCCGTTTGGGTAAGCGAGAGGATCTGCCTGTGGCCCAGCCCCACGAGAGCGCGCTCTGCCCTGTGTCACGCCGCTGTGCAGGCCAGGCGGGGCGCGAGCAGGAATCACCACACGCCCATACACCCATCCCTGCACTCTGAGCTCAGCTGTGCTCAGAACAGAAAACCAGCTGAGAAGGTAGGAACATGTACTCTGCAGCCTTATTTAGAAAAAGAATTACTGCTAATGATTTTTGTCCTATAGTTTTAGAAGGTACTTTTAAGAGAGAAATCAAGTAGGATTTCTCACTCAGCTGGGATGTTCAAAACAGGTTATAAGAGAATTAGTGCACTATTTACTAAAATATAAGAGCCAAAGATTTGTGACTGAAACAGTAGTTGTCATTAAAATACATTGCCCAGCTATGTGACCATGAGTTTGGGCACAGTAAAATTTAAGGTGGTGAGCGAGAGGCCAATGACAACTAGCTAGATGAAAATTCTACCAGCTACTTACCAAACCCTGGAAAATTTCTCTTTTCACACATATGTGAGTAAAGCTTTGCTCCAAGTTAAGGAGAAAGCAAATATTTGAGGCCCAAGCAGGCTCTCTTATAGCCAGTGTCAATTCTAGACACTAAATAGAAAAACTCTAAAGTTCAACAAATGTATTGTTTGCTTTTAGCTTTAAAAAGCATGCTATCACTATCAATTTCAGAAACAATTTGTTTCTACTAAGTAAAAGACAATTGATAACTAAGTCTTTTATTTAAACATATTATAAAAACATGTAAAGAGAGTTATATTGAGGAAAATGCTTAGGAATGACTTTAATTTGTGGAATAAGTTTTCAAAACTGCAAAGTTGCTTTTGAGGAACTTTTTAGCAAAGATAGATCGAATCCCTCTGATTGCAAAGCAACAACCAACTAAAAGAATAATATAGAATAAATTCTCTCTTCTAGGAATGATTTTGTGTCGTAAATACTGAAATCCTATTTGACTTAGAATTTTCAAGTTATATTAAGTTAGCATACCTTACATTTTTTAAAGCCCCAGATTTTGGGCAGTGTTTCATTCAAACCCACATTTTAGTGATGTAATTACTAGAATTCTAGTAGGAAAAAACAGTTAAGTGGTGAATGAGATGAATTGAGGGGCCTTAGCTTTTAGGGACTAGAGTCAGAATTCACATAGAGAAGCAAAAATAACCACTTCAGAGCTATGTCCAATTTTTAAGTGTCTTCGAAGCAAACGTGGTTTCTTATTAATACTTCCTGATTCCTGCACTGTTCTGAAACCGGGAGGCCAAAGCAGTGAGCCATGAAGATCCTTTGTGGTACCCGGGGAAATCAGAAGGCGAGTTTACTTTAGAAATCTAACACCCAAACCACATGGACCCAACTCTAAATTCAGTTGCTTAAACTCCTGTGACTAGATGGCCAGTAGGCAAAAAGAAAAGAAATATAAAATTTGAGGATTTCTGATTAGAGGCAAACCTTCCACCAGGCTATTGACTGTAGACTGATATGGTCATCACATCATGAGTAATAAAAGGTTTCCTGCCCCACTCCTTCCCCAGCTGTCAAGAGCTTAAATAACACAAGCATGACGAAGTGAATGTTATTCTTTCCAAGCCTCTTGATTTATCATACAAATACCACAGCGCCAAGTGGCTGGAAATCAGGACCTGCACCTTAAATTCATAAACTCTGAATCACCTGCCACAGGACTGCTGTACACTCACCACTTTCACGCACAGTCGCTCAACAAACGCTTATTGAACAGTGACTGCGTTTATTCAATGCATACGTGTTTCTATGGCTTTCTTTCATCCAATGTCTGGGTAAAACGGAATTAGGAAAAAAACTGAGAAAAATAATCTCAATGACATATTTACTCACTTAAAAACAAGCTAATGAAAAACCCAAGAAACATGTTAGATCTACTTACTTGTATCTGAGAAACAGCCACTGGGTGATCCATAATCCAAGTAATATGATCCCATTTATTTCTGATACAGAAAATGCCCATTTCACCCGATCGATGTAATCAAAGAACTTGTCGGGGAGTGGGGGGCTGAGCTCCTTGGGGGGGACCCTCTCGTGCACCACTGTGATCATCACGGTCGTCAGGACGAGGTTGAACAGCGCGTACACCAAGGCGATGCCTGTTTTCCACCATTCCAGGGGAAATTTGTTCCTCGATTCGGCGGGCATAGCAATCTGGACATAGTCCGGGTACTTCTTGGCGCCCTTCCGCAGCCCGGGGGATAAGCTCTTAGGTTTCCCGTTACCAGTTTTGTTTTCTTCCTCGACAGGCTCTGCAGGCCCCGTGTAAGCGGTGGTAGGATCGTTGGTTTGACTGTCCATGTTTTCCTCTAGTTTTGCTGTCTCTACGATGATATCCATTGTCCCCAGCCTTCAGATCAAAAAGGAGATAGTGAAGTTCTTGCTCTTTGTGGAAACTTCTCCGTCTTAAACCCGTCTATTTCCAAGCTCCAAGGGACTCTCACAGTGAACTCTGTTTCCCGCCACACGACATAGTAGGCGCCACCTGGCGCCGCCGGCCCCTTGCGGCTGTCTGCTGCACACTGGCCGCTGCCAGGAGAGGAGGCCGATTCCTTCCCCCAAAAGATGTTCCTATCTCGCCTAAAAGCAAATAAAACTGTGTTCAGAAACCATGCTCATCCAAACAAAACACTCTCAAACACTTGTTCCTTATTGTGAAGTCATAATAAGCTAGAGACTGCTCAGAGACCACATCACTCCTCCCCAAGAGATCTTTTTAAAACTCTGGTTGAGTTGCTCATGTGCATGTAATAACTGTTACTTTCTGCCGCTGTCAAGAGTCAGTTTTCTATTTTCTTGTTAACAACCTAAAGTCTCTTTAGGTGGTTACTTTCGAGAACAGATTTAGGAGTATCACATTCCAGATATTTTAAATGGCCCTGCCTCAGTGTATCCTTTTATATTCAGAAATGCACACCAGACACCAGGAAAGTTGGCAGCCTTCAAAATAACGGTGAAAAGATACACAAAGCCTTAGCTATGTCTCGCTTAGGTAACAAGTAGACTCTGTTATTTGCTAGATAAAATAATGCACTACAATTGGCATGGCAAACAGGTGAGTATTAATGATAGCATTTTAATGCAGCGCCACAATTTCTAACAAACAATAGAAAGTGGATCTGAGGACCAGCTCCGAGTACTCACCCACCGCGACCCTGGGGAGGAAAAGGTGCCTTTGGCGCCGGCTCCTCAGGCCCCAAGTGCAGCCTTCTCTCCGGCGCCGAGCACCGCCCCACTGCACCCTGCGCTCGCCCGGCCCCGCCCCGGCTGCTCCCAACTTGGGAGAGCAGCATTTCAGTCCCGCTACAGAGCTCGGCCACCCGAGGAGGGTTTCAGACCTCATAATTAGTCCCCGCCCTCAGCACACTGGCCAACGTTAAGTATAGTCCTTCACATGCCAGAGGCTTCTCTTTCCAGGGTAACTTCAGGAAAAAAGGAGGAGAAGGGAAAACTCAAAGTGGTGACAGTTAAGCCTTTTTTAAATGAAATAAAAAGGGAAAAAAGTTAAAATGGCACAGTCAGTATGTACAGGCAGCTTGTGTGCAGTTACGGGCGGCAAACACATCAGCGACGAGTGTTTCCCGTGCCCCTAGGTGCCCCGCGGAGGGCGTGTGGGAGTTAAGAGGGTTAGAGTCACCAGCCTGACCCCAGCCAAAGAGCTCGCAGAGCAGCCGAGGAGACAGAACAGACATGACAGCAGGTCACTGGAGAAGCCTGAGGTGTGCTGTAAAGGCGGGAGAGGGACGAGCTGGTCGCTAGGCAAGCATGGAGGTTCCGCCGGGAGGTGGGGAGGTGGCCCTGCTCCCGGGACAAGGTGTGCCCGCACTCGCGGGGCGTTCGGAGACAGGAGAAGCAGGAGGGAAGCTGGCCTGGGGAACACAGGGAGGACCGCAGGACCGGCCCAGAGGTGTCGCTGAGAACTGGATGCGAACACCCCACCTGTCTCTTGCGCCTTTGACAAAAGCCTCGGCGACCTGGGCCAGGGCCGCGGCCTGCGGGAGAGCGACTGCGCCCGACACGTGCCTCGCGTGAGAGATTGTCAGCAGCAAACTTTCCACACCGTGCACGGCTGCTTCCAACGGGCACCCACAGCGCACCTGGACTGTCTCCTGTGTCTTTCCTGACCCAGCCTAATCCACTCGCAGCATCTTGCCAAACTATTACCCAAACGCCCTTCCCCTTCACTGCTCCACGTGGAGCCCCCCCGGCGTCCAGACGTGCAGGAAGCTTGCTGTTTTGAAACCCCATTTCACCGGTGGATGAAAGGTGGTCTTATAAGGTGGTCTTTCTACAGTAGCTACCTAGTTCTAGAATGCAGAATGTAGAACAGAACAAAATCCAATTAGTTACTTTTTTTTTAAGAGGAATCACTCAGCCACCCACCTCCTGGGACTACAGTGAGAGTGACGGAAATAATTAATCATGAAGAGCTTTGTGCTCTGGGAGTAAGAGCACTGCGTGAACACAACGCCCATTTATCGTCATTAGCGTTAGGATTGATACTTTCCTTGGGACTTCATTAAGAAGATTAAACAGACACAGCACATACATCTTGTGTCGGCCAATCTTGAGACACAAGGTTTGGCATCAAGATGATTACAACATATTCGCCCCTATAGTCGTCCTTTCCTGCCAGGGTCTGCGAAAATGACAGAAGCCACAGCAGTTCCTGTCAATGGATGGCAATTCTCCTAGTCCTTTGTTTAGGGTGCTACACCGGGGTGCAGGCGGATGCCAAGCTTTCCAAATCCTCTTACATTGCAAATGGACGTTAACCTAGATACTACTGGAAAAGTTTAAGATCTCTATAGACACCATCTCCCTTTTGAAGGAAATTACAAGTGTCTGAAACTTTCAGTACACTGATATTGTTTTGTTAATATTATTTAGAACTAGATATGACTTATTTCATAAATGTAAGGAAGGTTTAAAATTAGAAAATGATTGTAATAAAATACATCACGAACATATGTAAAAAGAAATGATTATCTTGAGAAAAGTCAAAAGGCGTTTGATCAAATTCAACATCCACTTGATTTTGCAGGGAAAAAGCACGCAGTAGTAGGAGCACGCATAGCCAGCCTCTCTCGATACCAGCATCACTGCTGCAGCCGTGTCATGTAAGCTCGCACACCTAGTGGGAAGCCTGCCTCTGCCTCTACCTTCCTTTTAACCTCCAAGTGAACTTTAGAATCTTTTTGGCAAATGACAAGAAAACACATACTTATCCATGATTGTGCTTCTATATTTTACTTCTACACTTCTGCCATTTAATATCATTCTAGTCAATTAAGCCAAAACAAGAAAAAGAAAACAGGCAAATAATGCTTGAAAAGCAGATAAGAAATGCATGTGTGAAACGGTCTATCTCAACATATGGCATCAATGGGAAGGTTAGGTTCTGTCTACAATTAAACACACACACAGCTTCCTTAGAGAATCAGTAATATAATCAGTTCAAAAAACATAATAAAAATACGTTCACATCCAGACCACACTGAAGTAGCCATTACAACAATGACAAAAATACCCTTTAACCCTAATAACTAAAAGGAAACATTCAGCACATATATGAAGAAAGCTATAAAAATTAATAATACTGATGGGGATAAAAGAAAGCACAAAGCTATAGCATGTGCATAGGTGGGAAGCTGAGATATTAGACCAAAGAGGGTTTGATGTTAACATAGTAATATATAATGCTAGTCATTTTCTTTTAATAACAACAATAGGATTTCTCCTGCAATTTGACGAAATGACTCTGAAGTTCATCAGGGAGTACGAATGGTAGCAACAGCAGTTTTGTACCACTAGACACACAACATACCTAAAATAGCACTTTTACTCAGTTATCCTATTTTATGACTTTATCCTAAAGAAAATAAGATGTATGCAAAATAATTTTATGAGTACGTTTTCAACAGGTACTTATAAAACTGAAACTAATCTAATATCCAAAAACAGGGGATTAGCTTAATAAACTATGGTTACCTTAATATTAAGCAATGCGGTGTGGTGACATAGTAACTATAAAGCTGCAAGACAGATATGTAAATATTGTGTAAGAAGAATGCAATATCCGATTATACAGAAATTTCAATATGAATAGGAAATGTAGAATCTCAATAACTCATAGCACAGGTTGTAGCTTTTTAAAAAATGGGCAAGGGGCCACGTGACAGATACTCAAGACTATGAGAAAAGGCTCAAGCATGAAAGGCCGGCTCCACAGCCTGAGCTCGTGAACACGTCTACAGAGGCACTAAGCACAGATGTTCGCTCCAGTAGAAGGGGTTAGAAATGCTTTGTTTGCCAGATTTGTAGTATATGTCTTCCCAGTTGTACGCTTGAAGTGTTTGAGATCTATTAAATGTGTAAATATTATTTAAAAATTAAGAGAGCATATCTAAGTTTATATATGGGTTTTCTTGTTTAAAAGAATTTAATCTGCAAGAGACAGATGCCAAACAATGATCAAAGAAGATGTGTCCCCACATTTACAAAATGGAGCTATAAATAAAGGATCTGTACATTGAACTTAAAGGCTTAAGAAAAACAAAGTCTTAAAACAAGGTCTTGAAACAGAATTCCACTGAATTACACGTCGGTTAAAGCACATACTTATGCGTTTCCTAACAGACAAGAGAGCTTCTTCAGGCATTACAGAAGAAAACTCAGCTGTCTCCATAAAGCCATGAAAAAACTGAGTTGTAGGGTAAAATAGGCATAAAATAATAGTTCTCATCAAATATTACTTACATGCCAGGTACTATACTTGTGCATTATCTAACTAATCCTCAGAACAACCCTAGGAAATACTGTCAGCCTAATTCTAAAGACAAGAAGTTGAGATAAAGTGAGCTGTCCACGGTCAGAGAGATGGGCAGTGGCCGCGGCTAGATCTGAACCAGGAGCCGATCTCAGGAGCCCATGTCCCTACAGACACACCACTGCCTATGGCACCACGCCATGTGAAAAGGTCAACAACATGTTATGAAAAAGACTATGAGACAATCATGAGCTTTTTTTGTTTGTTTGTTTGTAAGAGTCATGGTCTCACTCTGTTACCCAGGCTAGAGCGCAGTGACACAATCATAGCTCACTGTAACCTCAAACTCCTGGGCTTGAGCAATCCTCCCACCTCTGCCTCCCAAGTACCTGGGACTACAGACACCAACCACCTTGCCTGGCTTTTTATTTTTCCCCTCTTTTGGGGTAGAGATGGGGTCTCACTATAGTGCCAAGCCTGGTCTGAAACTCCTGGCCTCAATTGATCCTCATGCCTCAGCCTCCCCAATTTTTTTAAAAAAGAAATATGTAAATACATAGGGAAATCCTCTAGATAGCATTATAGGCAATTTTTTTGTCTTTATAATTTTGTAAAAAATCAATATAAACCTAGAAAAGAATTTTAACATATGATTCACCCTTCTTGGGGGCAGGGGGGAGAAAAGATATTCAGTTTGTAATGCAGGTGTATCACTTTATGTTAATAGGATCCAGTTTTGCTAAGAAATCTCAAGTCCATAAAGTTTTTCTTAAAGACAAGACATCTTAGCTTTTTCTCATTAACAGTCTTA